TGAGCTACTGGAATCCTTTTCACATAAAATTCTTGCCATGTTTATATCTTCATGTTTTCTCTCCCTAGAAGTTTCAGTTTCAGGTCTCACATTAAGGCTTTTGATCCATTCTGAATTGATAAAAGGCAGTAGACAGGAACCTGGATTCAATCTTCTCCCTATGGATATTGTGTTCCCATCACTCTGTTGAAGGAGTTGTGTTTTGGGTGCTGTCATCAAACATTGGGTGGTTAGCTGGGCAGGTTTATTTCTGGGTCTTCTGTTCTAATCCACTGGTTCATCTGTAGCTTTATACCAGTTGTGGTGTTTGGTGTGAGATTTTATTGATTTAAATATTTCATACAATGGATTTTGATGCTCAGACCTCCTCCCCTCTCTGCCCTCATTCTACTGCCCCCCAACCCCTGACTTTATGCCTTTGGCTTGGTGTTTTTGATACTATGGCTCTGCAGTGAAATTTGAAGCTGGGTGTTGTGATAGCCCCAGCACTGTTCTTTTTGCTCAGGACTGTTTTGGCTACTCAGGATCTTTTGTACTTCCACATGAATTTTAGGATGTTTTCTTTTTCTGTGGATAATGTCAATGGAATTCTGAAGGGGTCTGCATTGAATCTGTGTTTGCTTTTTGTAGTATACTCATGTTCACACTGGTTCTACTGATCCACAAGCATGGGAGAGCTTTCTAATAGTCTTTTCTTGATTCTTTAGTGTTTTAAAGGTTTCACTGTAGAGGATTTTTTTTTGTTTTTGTTTTACTCCCTTGGTTAGTTTTACTTAGTTGTTGCTTTGCTATTTGTTTTTGAGGCTACTGTGATTGGGATTATTTTCCTGATTTCTTGATATAGAAAGACACTGATTTCTGCATGTTGACTTTGTATCTTGCTACTTTTCTGAAAATGTAAATTAAATCTGTTTTCTGGTGGATTCCTTAGGTCTTTTAAGTATAGGATTATAGTCTGCAAATAGGCATAATTTGACTTCTCTCTTTCCTATGTGTGCGCCTTTTCTTTCTCTTGCCTTACTGCTCTAGCTAAGACTTCAAGCATCACACCGAGTAACAGAGGACACCTTTGTCTTATTCAAGGAAATGCTTTACATTTCCCCCTTTTACTGTAACAGTGGCCACAGGTTTGTCATGTGCAGCCTTCACTATGCTGAGGAGCAGTTCTTCTGGTCCCAATCTTCAGGGCTTCAGTCATGAAGGAATGTTGAATTCTACCAGAAGGCTTTTCTGTATCTTTTGAGATGATCATGTGATTTCTATCCTTAAGTCTATTTATGTTCTGTGCTGTGTTTACTAATGAATGTTGAACTAGTTTCACATCCCTGAATGAAGCTAATATGGTCATGGTGTATGATCTTTTTAATGTATTCCTGAATCCAGTTTATAAGTATTTTATTGAGTTTTTTGTTGTTGTTGTTGGTATCTCTTTATTAGACAAATAGGTCAACACGTCTCCCTTTTTTGTTGTGTCAGTCTCTGGTTTTGGTATCAGGGTATGTTTGGCTGAAGCCCATCTTACCTAAATAAAATACTTTCTTCCTTGCTTGCTCTGTAACTTCTAGTCCCTGCTGTCCACTCAGATCAGGACAGACTTTCCCCAAAGGGCTTTCTCAGCTTCTCTCTGTAGCCCCTACCAGATGAGCAGGAGGTTCTTTTCTGTGTTCCAAACACCCTCACACACCTTGTCACAGCATAAGAAACACTGCCTCCTAACCGCTGGTTTACTTACCCTTCTCTCTCACTGAACTGAAACAACTTGAAGGTAGAACCTGTCACCTTTTTAATGACCACCAATTAATAGTGGCCTCAGTGAAGCTGACAGAAGAAAAGAGCTGAAGCCTCAAAGCACCACAGTTCTCCAGGGTCATGCTGAGTCACAGACGCTCTGACTTTAGAAATCACATCACAAAAGTATCCCTTTGGTTTCAACCTTTTTTCTTTGAGAAAACACCTTTTCCTTTCAGAAAGAGACCTTGCTATACACACAGAAAGGAAGCATCCTTACCTTACATTGGAGTACTTTAACTCTTGTTCCTCTCCACCCTAAACACATATACCAAACTGGAGGTATTGTATAAAGGCACTTTATTTAAAAATCAACTTATTCACATAAACCAGTCACTCTCTGAGTTCTCTTGCCTGAGCATGGGAGCAGAGTGTGTGATATTTTTCTGGGCTTACAGTATAAACTGACATGGTATTCAAGAACTTGTCCAGTGGACAGAGCTTCTCCGGGCAACCTCTTGGCACCTGCTCCTACAGAAGAAACAAAACTCATCAGATGCACAGGGACTGCAACCCTCAAAACTCATCAGGTGCACAGGGACTCCAACCCTCAAAACTCAGCAGGTGCACAGGGACTCCAACCCTCAAAACTCAGCAGGTGCACAGGGACTCCAACACTCTGCTGTCTTCAGATGGGTCCAGTAGTCTCACCCAAACAGTATGGTGTCAGCACACATTTAACAGACAGGAAGGCACCACTACCCCATAAGCTTCCAGATTAAAAAGCATCACATGCTGCTTATAAAAGACACTAAAGAAATGCTTGTTGAATTGACTGGGAAGACTCAGTCAAGTTCTAGCTCTGAGCCAGGAGAGTTCTAGTACTCATCCCTGGAGAGTGCTCAGTCTCTTTCCTGGACATCAACAATGATGAAGCAGCCAAGATGTCAAGATGCTGACAGTAAGCCAGGCATGGTGGTGGTGGTGGCGGCGGCACAGGCCTTAAATCCCAGGCAGAGACAGGCAGATCTCTGTGAGAACAAGAGCAGCCTGGTCTATATAGAGCATTCCAGGCCAGTTGGGGCTATAAGGAGACCTTTTCTCAAAAAGACTACCCCCACATAAAAGTGATGTGTACTACATCACCTCCAAACGACACCTGCTACTTCCCCAAAATGGGCCTCACAGTCAGGATGTTTAGCTTGCTGAGACTCTCAGGAGAAGAACAGTCCTGGTCCTAGGAGTATGTAAACAGAACTGCAATCAGCCCCCATTGTACCCTGCTATCAAATGCAGGCCTCTGTCCTAGACTTGGGTTGCAGTTGTGAGTCACCCTACAGACTTCAGACAACTGAGGCTATCACTGGAGACCTCACTGGGCCTGAGAAGAGACATCCGGCATTAAATTAATTGGGCGCCTAGCCAGCAACCACTTCCACCTTGGAGATCTTACCTCTCCATGGTAATAGACTTGCACAAACCATTCCTTAGATTCCTGGTGCTGGTAGAGTTCCATGGTCAGGTCAACTGCAAATGGAGGCCATTTGTGGTCAAAGATCCCCAGGGCCATTAGGAGAGGCATGAGCGTTACATCATGAGTTGCATAGAGGTACAGCTTTCTGCAAGAAAGAAACAGTTATCCATAATTTTTTGCCTCAGCACTCCTGGCCAGGATGCTGCCTGTCTCCCGAGTGAAAAACTCTTGCCTCAGAAGCAAGATGGAGAGCAGTCAGTTGAGCCTGGTATGAAACTTTCTGACACAGATGCTGGGGAGAACTCTTGTTCCTACTCTTAGGATCTCAAGGAGAAGGGCCCCCTGGAGTAATTCTCCTTGCCTCCTCTGTCCCACCCACTCAATACCGTCCCCCCCCCACCCCAGGGGTGGGTGAGTCTCAAGGGAGAAACAGCACAGCAACTCAGGTCTACCTATCTTTCTTGGATTCTGGCCACCCATGACGAATGTTCCTCCCATTCTCAGCTACACAAGTGCAGTGGGGTAACCTCTGCTCCTTGTTAGCAGGGAAGCTTGCGGTTTCAGAAAAATAAATTCATTCCAAAAGAATAATAAGCTGGATTGATCCTTAAAACATTTTCCAGTCAATAATAAAGTCTGTCTGCCTGGTGCCAGTAGCTGTCTCTTCAGAATGATTAAAGGTCTTACTGACCCTCAACATAGGAGACTAGCATTAGATGCTGCAGGTCCTTCAGGTACAAGGCAGAGAATGGCAAGGAAGGTAGCAAAAGGCAGGAAGTGGCGTCAGGCAGGTGCTGTGACAGAGAAGGAGGGGCACTGTATGGTTTACTGCTAGAAATTCCGCCCAAACCTCTAGACAGTTTCTATTTCACTTCTGTTCCCTGCACCTCTCATACCAGTGAGTTTCTAGCTACATGGAAGTTCTCCTTCCCTCCCTCTGTCCCTTTATCCTTTTCTTCTTAACCTTCTCTCTCTCTCTCTCTCTCTCTCTCTCTCTCTCTCTCTCTCTCCTTCTACAAGATAAGGGACATCTAGCTAAAACAAAGATTCATCTTCAGGAAACACATTTAGGAGAAATACATTTAGGACTCTTATTTTACTAAACAACATGGCAGGAAAGCAATAGCAAAAAGGCAGTGAAAAGGCTGTGAGCTTCTTGGGGACTCATGGCCTTGAAAACATACTTGTAGCTGCTGACTCCCTGGTTCCTGCTCCATACCCCTGGGGCCCCTCCCTGTACCCCAAAGCCCTTGGTGGTACAAAGTAGCCACTGTGCCTGGTACCTGGTCTTGTTGGGCGGGGTGGCAGGGTCCACAGTGTTCAGCAGGTTTCCCTTCAGCACATGTAAGAATGGGCCAACTGCCATCTGGATACTTTCCCTGTGAAAAGTGAGTAACATTTAAGCACCCGGCAGGCACTCAGCACTTGGGAGAGGTGTCAGTTCCGCTCCCTAGGTCCCAAGAGCCCAGTCAGATGGAGCAGAGAAAAAGACAGGTAATACAGGGGGTGCAGTGATGGGCAGGAGAAAAGGCTTTGCATCAAGCCAGAGCATTCTCTGTGAACAAAGACTTCCGATAACAGAAACACCAGGATACATATACACCATGAACACAGCTAAGGGGCACATTTGGAGAGCAAGTGGTGGAACTGAGCTCAATTATGAAGATCTAGGCTTTAGGCTGGCAAGATGGCTCAGGGCAAAGGTGCTTGCTGCCAAGCCTGATGGCCTGAGTTTGACCCAAAACTCACATAGGAGACGAGAACAGACTCACAAGAGTTGCCCTCTGCCCTACACACACGCGCACACACATACATTCACACACACACGCACACACATGCGTGCACACACATACACACACATTCACACGCACACACACATACACACACACGCACACACGAAATGAACAAATGTAAAATGATAAAGAACAAAGCCTTAAGGAGTGAAAGAACAATGCTGGGAAGGACAGAGGGGTAATAACCGGTAATTCCCAAAGGTCCTTAGAAAAGCAATCAGAAGGCCGACCTCCCAAGTCATCTCCTGTGTGCTGCCTCTGCACCTTTTGGACTTGAGCTCATAAAGACACTTATTTACATATTCTTTATTTAACTTGGGAAGAGCAGAACTACTTTCTCAGGTTGGCTTTGCAGCTCCATTGCTTCCATCCTTGGCTTGTCATCTCACCACCACAGGTGACGACTGAACTCAAAGCACATGGTCCCTCAGTACTGAGCAAAACAAAGATGGGAGGTGGCAAGAAAACAATTTATCTGTGTGTGCGCCTCTCACTTTTTAGGGGTAAGGGTTCAAAAACTGAAACAAAAAACACTCTTAGGACTCAATCTCCCAAAGAACAAGGCTGACATGATGGTTTAGATCAATTTTAAAAACTGCCACCTTCATAATTAAAGGAATGTTGAGAACGGATGAGGCGGAGGCAGCCACTGCATGCAGCATACCCCTTCCAGATGCACAGCCAGCCAACCCAGACTTCACTGTGAATTTCAGGATGCCCTAGGCTAGTGTACAAATGGGCATGCTGACTCTGCCAATGCTAACAGGGGCTCTTTTCTTATGCAAGAGGCCCTGCAAATTCTTGAAACATTAGCTGCCCTCTCCCCCAACACACACATATCCCACCTTTCCCAGGACTATTTCCCCTTCCCACCTTAACTGTTTGAAAGTTACCTATTCTTAGTGGAAATGGAATGCTCCTAATCAGAAAAAGCAACAAGTAAGTATTCTACAGCAGAATCCCAAGAACCAGCAAACACAGGACGACTGGTGAGAGCACCTGGTGTCTGGGGCCAAGCCCTAGCTCTACCACTTGCGAAATGAGCCCCAATCTCTCTCAGTCCAGCCCCCACCTCCTTTTTCTCCTTAAAGCAGTGCTAGGGAATCAAACCAGGGCTTTGTAGATTCTTTCCAGTTTCTTTATCCACAAAGCATCAGATAATAAATAATACCTATAACACAATGAGAATGGGAATTTATTTGCAAATTGTACCTTGAGTACAAAATAATCATTCTTCCTTTGCTCCCTCTATCCCAATCTTTTGAAAAGTACAGTGAAAGGAAAGGGTAACAAAGAGCCAGTGAAGAGTCAGGTGGTGGCTCCCCCTGTGCAGTGGGAGGTCTCAGGTCACCAGCCTCAACTCTGAAGTAAGGCTGTGGGCCAGAAGGTAGTCTAGCTGAGCTGTTTCACCTCTTCACACAGAGATGCCAGCTGCCAGGTGAGAGGGCCTGATGGACCCTCCTCCTCACAAACTTGAAGGTCTGACCAAGTGTGACTTGGTGCTAACACCAAAGAGGCCCCTCACCTGTCTTCCTGTTGCAGGATGTACAAGGCTGTGTCCACAGCTCTCTGCTCAATCACCTGTGCGAATCTCTTCAGGGCGGGACAGCTCAGGAGGCTGTGCACCTGAAAGGGCCGTCAGCAGTGTTAGAGGAAAATGCTTTTCCCACACTGAGCCTGGCAGGCAATCAGCTTCCACTAAATCTGCAAAGCCGTATCCTCCTGAGGAGGCTATGACCCCAAGGCTCTCTGAAACTCTGCATTCCTCAAAATCTGTAGGCCAGAATTCTTAAAATTGTTTTACATCCTTTTCTGATGGCTCCCGTCCACTCCAGGTTTTTTAATAAATAATCTTTAACTTAAAAAAAATAATATAATACAAGTAAAAGAATTCACCCAAATTCATTTTATTTTCATTTCCCCTAAAATGATTTTTAAGATGTATGCCACATAAATACTTTATACCTTGCCATATAGCCTTAAATTTGTTACATATAAGCACAAGGCACATTTATGCCTTTGGGGCACACTGTCATTTTTATGAGAAGGAAAAAGATCCTGCTCTGCTTTTGAGTACCTGACCTTAGAATCTACAGACGCATTCTGACTGTGTGATATTCTTTATTACATGAATTATGATACATATATACTTTTAATATGTAATATGTGCCTATTACATAAAATGTTATGTGTTCCATAAAATGTAATATACACAATGTATTTAGTACATAAAACTATTCTATAGCTAAATTAATTTTGAGAAAAACAGACTAAGAAATTAACCAGGTTTATTATAGACATGGCAGATTTTTTTTTATTTTATTTATTATTTTTATTTTATGTGTATGTGTGTATTGCCTGCATGTAGGTAAGCGCATCTGTGTCGTGAAATGCCTGCGGAGGTCAGAACAGGTTGTCGGATCCCCTGAGACTGGAGTTATGGACAGTTGTTGGCTGCCATGTGGGTGCTGGGATTCAAACCTGGGTCTTCTCCAAGAACAACCAGTGTTCTTAACCACTGAGCCATCTCTCCAGCCCCAGACACCTCAAATTGTTAAATTTATTTATATTTTTATTTTATGTGCATGACTGTTTTGTCTGCATATATGTAAGTACACCCATGTGTGCTATACCTATCGAAGTCAGAAGAGAGCATCAGATTCCCAGAAACTGGAGTTACTATTGTTAGCCACCATGTGGGTGCTGGGAACTCAACCTGGGTCCTCTGCAAGAGCAGCCACTGCTCTTAACCACTGAGCCATCTCTCCAGCCCCCAAATCTCAGATTTTAAAAAACTTGTTTTCACATTTATTTACTTAGTGTATGTGCACGTGTTTGTGTATATGTGCACCTATTTATTTATTTAGTGTGTGTGCACATATTTGTAGATGTGCACATATGCCTGCCATGGCATGGGTATGGCGATCAGAGAACAACTTGTCAGTTCTCTCCTTCCACTATGTGGTTCTAGGGATCAAAGAGGTTGTCAGGCTTGGTGGCAAATGCTTTTGCCCACTGAGCCATCTTACTGGCTCAAGATTTTCTTATATATATGTTTTTTTGAGACAGGATATCACTATGTAGTCCAGGCTAGTCTCCAACTTTTAAGTCTCTTGCTTTCAGCCTCCTGAGCACTAGGATTATAGACATGCATCACCACACCTAGCTTAGATTGTTTTAATATGCTGACACACTTATAAGCTCTCTAAAAGGTGATACAATCTGTATGGATCCCATAATATTTAGACCCTAAGGATGCCAAATGTAGACTTTACAAGGAGGGCATGTTGGCACACACCTGTAATTCTAGCACTCAAGAGACTGAGGCAGGAGAATAGTGTGAGATTGAGGTTAGTTGTGGGTTACATAGAAAGTTGGAGATCATCTGTGCTACATAATTAGACCCTGTACTGGATAGCCTTATTTGTCAACTTGACATACCTGGGTTGAAGGAGCCTCAGCTGGACTGGCCTGTGGCCATGTCTGTGGGGCATTTTGATGTGGGAGTGCCCAGTCCCCTTTGGGCAGTGCCACCCTGTGCTGGATAGCTTTAGTGTCAACTTGACACACCTGGGTTGAGGGAGCCTCAATTGAGGAATTTCCTCTATTGGACTGTCCTGTGGCCATGTCTGAGGGGCATCTTCTTGATGAGTGATGTGGGAGGGTCCAGTACACTGTGGGTGGTGCCACCCATGGGCAGGTGGGCCTGTGTTGCATAAGAAAGCAGGCTGAGTAGAGGCCAGGGGAGCAAGCCAGTAAGCAGCATTCCTTCATGGCCTGTGCTCCAGCCTCCAGGTTCCTGCCCTGAGTTCCTACCTTGGGCTCCTGGATGAACTATGACCTGGGATATGTAAGCTAAATAAATCCTTTCCTCCCTAGGTTGGTAGTGGTCAGAGTATTTTGTCACAGCAATGAAGAAACAAACTAAGACACACCCCTGGGCAGGTGGACCTAAATTGTATAAGAAAGGAGTTTGAGCATAAGCCAGAGGAGCAAGCCAGTAAAGTAAGTGGCATGCCTCCATGGTCTGTGCTCCAGGTTTCTGCTCTGAGTTCCTGACGTGGCTTCCCTTGATGATGGACTGTGCTTGAAAGCCAAATAAGCCCTTTCCTCCCCAGGTTGGTTTTGGTCAGACTGGTCACAGCAATTGAAACCAAACTAGAATAGACCTTGACACAAAAAAATAAAACTTGGACTGGGGAGATAGCTCAGCTGATAACGTGCTTGGCATCCAAGCATGTGGACTTGAGTTCACTCTCCAGAACCCAGGTTAAAGAGCCATATGTGGGGCTGGAGAGATGGCTCAGTGGTTAAGAGCACTGGCTGTTCTTGCACAAGACCCAGGTTCAGTTCCCAGCACCCATGTGGTGCCTACCAACCACCTGTAACTCCAGTTCTAGGGGATCAGACACCCTCCTCTGGCCTCCACAGGCATTACATGACAAAGGTACACTTATATACATGCAGGTAAAACATTCATATGCATAAAATAAATTTTAAAAAATTTTAAAAATAAAAAAGCCAGGTGTGGCAGATGCAGAGAGATAGTGGATCCTTGGAATTTGCTGGCCAGCCAGCCTAGCCTACTTGGTAAGCTCCAGGCCAGTGAGAGACCCTGCCTCAAAAAATGACATGTGTAAAATTAGCATTCCTCTCTAGTCATAATCCCATCCTCCCAAACACATGTGCTCAGATCTCAGGTATTCTGAGAACAAGCTTCCAGAAACTGATCTAGAGCTAAATGGCTGTGTTCCTGAGTGAGGCATCCTCTCTGATTGTCCTCATCAAGGTGCTCTCTGTCACTCAGTCCCCACATCTATCCCATCTGTAAATCTTATCATGAAAGCCTGCAAACCAGAGACCCTCGGGTCAGTTCTAGCGAGGAGGCAGCCCTCCCAAGGGCCCATCCATAGCTCCCCAAACCCAGAACCCAGGGGAAACCATTATCCCACCTGCTCAGCAGCCACGTTGTCCAGGAGAACAAAGAAGTCCACTTCGTCACTACCATTGATGCCCGCCCCAGCCTTCACCTTTTCCAAATCTTCTGAGATCCCTGGCTGCAAAGTAGCAGCCTTTTTCCGGCCTCTGCCAAAAAAACCAAAAAGCAGGTCAGTATATTACTATTGTAGAGTGATCAGTAATTTACAAAACGTATTTTATTCAGCATTTGTGATTCCATTTAATTCTTACAACATAACTATTACCTCCATTTTACAGATAAGTAAATTAAGGCTCCAAGAATGAACCTTTTAAGTCAGCAAGAATTAGAATAAAAGCCTAGATTTTTCAAATCCTACTCTCAAAATTATAACAAAAGCAATGTGTGCCCTTGATCTGTCTGAAAACAGTATTCTGTTTGCTCTTTGTTCTCTGGAACACTGTCTCAGTGCAGCTCAGAAATACCTGAGCACAGGAAAATCTCAGCAGCCCAACCCAAACAGCCCACCACAGCAGCACATTAGTGTCAGAGATATGAAGTCTTCCTGTGCTTACACCAGGGGTTTGCAGATTGATGACTGACTTGACCACCTTTCATTTAACCCGCAAGTTTCTTCATTCGCCCACCCTGGATCCCAAAGTTGTTGGAGGACAGCCCCATTCATGGATGCCTGCAAAGCCATCTGTCAAGCCCAGTGTGTGGCTTCATACCTGCCACTATGAGCAAAAAACTTTACTTCCTAGACAGCTGAAGTCAGACCTGAGTGTGATTTACTGCCCCGCCCCCACCATTCCTTATCCCAAGCTGGTGAGCTGGGCCAGTGCTCAGCACAAGCAGTCGGTCAGTAAAGACTGGAAAAGCCTGTCACCTGGTTTTCTCTCTCAGGCCCCAGCAGTTCCGGTAGTTGGGATACAAGACTTCAGAGCTTGCCTCATCCGTGTGGATGACAATGGGTCCTAGAAGGAAGACAGGAAGCACAAACAGAAAGGGGTCTCAGCTCACTCTTCCAAGACCCACTTCCTCCTTCTGTGTGTACACAGCTGATCCAAGAGACAGATTACAAGGTCACTCTAGAAGGACAAAGAATGCCTTCGACATGCCCTGGCCCTGCCCAGCTTCCCTATGTCCAAGCATTGGAGAAAACAGCAGCTTTGTTCTGTCTAGCACACGGCCTCTTACTGGGCCACAAACAGACTAGAACAGGTCCAGACCTGGATTACATCAGCAATTCCCTGACTCACTCCCCAAACTCCCTGCCTGAAACATCACCAGCAACAGTTCTACTAAAGAACGTTGTCTCTGCCATCATTAGCAGTAGGTTATCTTAGTTGGGCATGGTGATGCATACCTTTAGCCCCAGCACTCAGAAGGCAAAGGTAGGTGGACCTCTGTGAGTTCAAGGCCAGCCTGGTTTACACAGCAAGTTCTAGATGAGCTGGGGTCACAGGGAGACCCTGTCTCAAAAAGACCAAAAAAAAAAAAAAAGAGAGAAGTGGATTTTCTTGTGGCTTCACAAAGTTCAATTCCTATAGGCCAATAAAGTGACTTATCACAAGACCATAATTCTCTCAGACCACATAGCTCTGCCCCAAATACAAGTAAACCTTCTAGAAGAATTACTAAGAACCAAAGATTAGACTATAAACAATACTGCTGTGACTGAAAGCTCACAAGTATTCCTACCCTCTCCTATTGATGTCCAAAGATGTTCTAATACCTTCCCCTACTCTGTCTTTATACTAGAAAAGGTGAGGGCCTGTAGCAGGTTCTCTTTCCACACAGTTCAGGCCTGATGGGGAAAGAAACAGCTTCCTTATAAGCAGTAATTTAGAATCAGAGGCCAAGCCACAGAGTAATTTGGTAAATCCCAAAGAGCTATTTATCCTCAAATGAATTATAGCTAGAACCCCAGGAACTTAACAGTAGCTATGGTAACTCTACTGGTATACTCAAATTCGCATACACTTTGTCAATCTAGACAGAAGGAAACCAGACTGAAAATCAGCTGAATCACACCTAACCAGCGGGGCTGCCCTGGGCTGTCATTTCTCCTCTCAGGGACTCATGTGTAAATCAAAGTGGGTAGAACTTCATCTGTGATTTTCAATTGTTTTAAAGCAGCAGAACCTTTCCGAACCCACTACTATCTAACATAATACAGAAAAGGGGCTAGTGTCTCCAAGGTGGGGTCCAAAGCATAGCCTACTTGCATGTCCTTTGCTTTCTGTAGTTCCTGTGATCCCTCTGAATAATTCTGGGGTTCTGCAGGACATGCTTGAAAAGAACAGACTAAGGCTGGACACGGTAGCACATATCTATCATCCGAGCACTTGGAAAGTGGAGACAGAGGGATCAGGAATTAAAGACTAACTTCTACTACACAGTAAATTTGAGACCAGTTTGGAATACATGAGACTGTTTCAAAAAACAAAAAAATGAAGCCAGGCATGGTGGTACACGCTTTTAATCCCAGCACTCAGGAGGCAGAAGCAGATCTCTGTGAAACTGAAGCCAGCCTGGTCTATACAGTGAGTTCCAGGCCAGCTGGAGCTACAAGGAGACCCTGTCTCAAAAAGGGCTGACAAGAAGGTTCAGTGGGTAAAGGCACTTACACCAATCTCTGGAACCCATATGGGGGAAGGAGAAAAGACTCACACAAGTTATCCTCTGACCTCCACATGTGTACCATGATATAGGTGCATGAATATGTGCACATGTGGACACATACATCAATAAATTAAAAAATAATAATAAAAGAACAGATCGAAACTATCAAAGACCCTCTCCAGACTCCCCAGTGTGGGAATAACTTTTATAATATAGACAAGCTCTGGACTTTTACCTAATCTTGCAATCAAAAAGTTAATCTTATGTTTTGAGACCATTTAATACTTTTTCAGCTTATTTATAATGTAAGCGAGCCTACTAGACTTTGGGTTCCTCTTGTAACCTAAACAGATAGCTTTAATCCCTCATGACCCTTCCTTGCCCCTGACCTATAATGTGTGTGTGTGTGTGTGTGTGTGTGTGTGTGTGTGTGTGTGTTTTGCATATTAAGTAAGCTCAGTGGATATTTGTTTATTTGGTTTCTCTCTCTCTTTTTTTTTTTGGTCTTTTAACAAAATATTTTATTTATTATTTTTAGGGGCTGGAGAGATGGCTCAGCAGTCAAGAGCACTGACTGCTCTTGCAGAGGACCTGGGTTTGATTCCCAGCACTCACATGGCAGCTAACAACTGCCCGTAACTCCAATTCTAGGGGATCTGACACTCTCTTCTGACCAACATGGACATTCAATGACATAGGTACACTTACACACATGCAGGCAATACACTCATACACATAAAAAATAAAAATAAACTTAAAACATTTAAAAAATTTTAAAATATATTTATTATTTTTAATCTTATGTGTATGAGTATATTGTCTGCATGTGTGTAAGTGCACCTGTATCATGCAATGCCTGCAAAGGTCAGAAGAGGGCATTGAATCCCCTGTGAATGGTTGTTAGCTGCCATGTGGGTGCTGGGAATCAAACCTGGGTCCTGTACAAGAACAGCCAGTGCTTTTAAAAACCTCTGAGCCATCTCTCCACTCCCTCTTTTTGGTCTTTTTGAGACAGGGTTTCCGTGTAGAACAGGCTAGCCTCGCTCTCACAGAGATCTGCCTGCCTCTGCCTCCTGAGTGCTGGGACTAAAGATGTGAGCCATCACACCCTGCTTGAGTGGATAGCTATTGAAAGCAACAGATTATCCTACTTGTGTTGCAAATGACAGGAGGGATTAAATTGATAGTATCTGTTTGCGGTGGTGTATACTACTGTCCTAGGTCAGTAGTGCTCAGAAAGGAAAAGCCCTCTGATAAGGGTCCACTTTTCCTTCCCCATTTCATGCTGGACATATATTTTCAATAAAGAGAGATGAAGGCCTTTGTTTGAGAGCACAGTTCCAAGAGAATTCCAAAAGGAACAGGTTCTCAGAGCAGTTCAGGTCCCCTCTTGGCTAAAACGGATGCTAAGAATCAAACTGTCTTTATTCAGACATAACCATACATAACATGGCATCTCGTATTAATGCCCCACCACAGATGTACATGTCCTCAGAGCAGCTGATGACAGTGATGAGCATGGTTTCTGAAGCCAGACTGCCAGGGTTTGAATCCCACCTACACCATCCACCAGGTCTGTGCTCCTGAGGAAGCTACTTCCTCAGGAACACTTCCTCAGGAGCTTCTCTTATCTGTAAAAGCAGAGAACAGTATCTTCCTCATATGGTTATCACAAGAGTTCAACAATATGTGCAAAGTTCTTAGCAATGATTGGTATATTCTAATCCTTAAAGTATTAGAAAAACCACCATGAACCTAAACCTCTAACACAACAAGGTAGCACTACAACCACTAAAATGCCATCCACCAGAAGTCTGCTACTGATGTCAGGATGTTGGAATTATAGTTTGTGCAAAATAGACATACTTGAGTAGGCACTCAAATCTATGTTAAACAAATGACTGTCCAGACTGGCAACCTCTGGCTGCACACAGTCAGATGCTCTCTAGCTTCCACAGAGCCAACTCTGGCTCTTCTCCAGGACTTCACTCCTAAAGCCAAATCTGCAGTTGCACTATTTCTGTTAATGGTGGCAGCTTCTGGTGTTCTTTGGCCCATTCAAGTTACTGGATACTCTGAAGAAAGGCATAGAATTACCTCTGAGAGAAGCCTCACTAGGCTCCTAACACCTTGGGGTCCTGAGCAGGGAGCTTCTAGGTGGTCCCACCCACTGGGTACTGAAGATGCCACCTTCCTCCCTACCTGCTGGAAACCCAGGGCATCCTCAGTCTGTAACCTATCTGTAGAGAAGGGGCCACCAAGAATTATCTGTCTTCCTTAGTCGAACTTTCGGTGTTTCTGGGAAGGATATATATTTGACTTTTTGAAGGTAAGAAAATGAAGAGCTTTGAGAAGATCAGATATTCCAGATTATTCCTGTGCTTGGCTTATTAGACACACACTCTCTAATTCAGCCAGAATTAGCAACAGCAACTTCCTCTGGCCTGAAGTCCATTGCTTTTAAAAATTGGATGGAAATTTTATTTTTATTTGAGATACCTCTAGAACCTAACAAAATAACAGGAATATTTGCCTCCTGGCACCATTTAGTATCTTAATCTCTGTTAGATTGTAATAGTTAGGTCATGATTTGAAACTCAGATGAGTGATTAAATGTGATTTTGAATCAATTACAAGTGACAAAAATGTAGCTGCATTTGATGGCCAAAGACCCCGTTATGGTTTGAATCTGAAGTATGTTTTGGACACTTACTCTTAGTAGGGAGCTAAGTTTAGGGAGGCTGTGCAGCATTTACAATATTAGGCCTGGCTGACAGAGGTAGATCAGTAGGGGTAGACCTTTAAAAGCTAGACCTTCCCCTAGCTCCAACCTATGTTCTCTGCATCCCAGTCTGTCCCACTGTGAACACCCACCACCTCATAGTCCCACAGCCACTGCTGGAGCCTCTGCCATATGCTCCTTCTTCCACCACCATGCCTCCCTCACCATGACAGCCTGCAATCTCTCTGAAACAATGACCCAAAACAAACCTTTCTCCCCTTAAGTTGTTTCTTATGAGGTATTTGGGAGGGAAATAAGAAATTCAGTCCTTAGTTTAGAAGTTGGAGAGTTCCTGATTGCAAATATTCATTGACCAAACATGTTAAAACTCAAACTCTGCTGACTTTCTCAACTAAGAAAGGCTACACAGAATACTGTTAATACCACCTGGGTTGACCTAAGGATTACCAGCAAAGTCAGAGCAGTAGCAGCAGTCTTGGGTCCCAGCTAAGTGTGCCCCTGCCCTTCTTTTCAGCAGAGTCTCACTACTATTCTGGATAGGGTTGCCCCCTATACCTTGGGTAGAACCCAAGATGCGAACTCAGAAGGCAGGGGCACATCCAGCAGCTTCTGTGCTGTTCATGTGGAGGTCATTTTGGCAAGGGCAGCATAAGGCTGGATGGGGAAGGACCTCCACAACAGGAGCAATCAGAAGCCACATGTGCAGAGAGATCAAGAGAACAGGCATCAAGACAGAAGGAGGGGCTTTGGAAGTGAGAAGAAACAGCTCCTCTGGTACAGGGGCTGACTTTCAGACCCAAACACAAACCTTCTTTCTGACGTTGAAAAAGCCCAGCCAGCAAACACCGAGTAGATTCCAGATTCCGGAACATGTTGGTAGAACGAACACTGAAGGGAAAATGAGAATGAAAAGGCAGAGATGCTCACAGAACTCTGAACATACGGGAATGGTACAGACGTGAGGCTTTCAAGACCAGGTTCCTCCCTGTGGAAGGACTTGCCCCCAAGGGACCTAAAGGCTACTGAGTGTGACCTCCAGTGACTACCTGTTCACAGAAACTTACAATATAAGGCTAACTGCACTGTGGCAAGTTATCCCCAAAACTACCTTGAGTGAGTAGGGGGTGAGGATGGTTTATTAATCCTTAAGACCTTTAAATTGGGTGTAATCTCCTTTCCTAGTGACTCACAAGACCTCCTGGGGGTTGAAGACCGGTGAAAGGAAAGGGATATCTTCTACATAGTTCTTCCTCAGTCTCTCTCCCAGGGCAAACATCTGTTGCATGCCCACCTTGGTCAGCTGCCCAGCAAACACGCCACCCTGAAGTAAGGCAGAAAGAAAGAGAAGAATGAAACACTCAACGGCTCTCTAACTCAACTCAGCCCAGAGAAAAACGCTGAAGCTCTGCAGTAGGTTCCCCAGAGCAGGGAAGTGCTCACCTTCAAGGTGGTCCCATGGTATTCAGTGTCATAAGGAGACTGTGGCTTCGGGCCACCAGCTAAATTGGTGACTGTGTAATCAAACTGAGTTTGGGGTGGGATCTCTAAAAGCTTGGGGTTCCATTCCACCTGTTGTGACCATAAAAAACAACATATTGCTTAAAAAACTTTTGAAACTCATACCTTGTGACCCTTGGAATTCATGGCTGGAATCACTGGACACTAAGCCTGCAACCTCCCCTTGGGGTGGAAGGAAAGGAAAGTAAACTCTACCTCCAACTAAAGAAAGAAATGATGTTGATTTTTGCCTTGGTGTCCTGAGCCAAAGTCCCATTAGTGCTACACCAGGACTCAACGTTACAGCACTACTCTCACATTAAGCCCACTGGACTATAGAGGAGAAGTGGCAGGACTGCTCGGCATGCAAATACTCAGTGAGTGAGTGAATGAGTGGATAAGCGAACCAGTGAGTTAAATATGCTTAAAGTGACTCACCACACTGGTAAGAATTTCTAAGGAAGCAATCTAGGTGTTGATGCCCTAGGGCTCTGCTTAATATCCACTACTACTATCACTATTTCCTATACTCTTAACCAATTTCTGAAATAAGCAGTTGCCATCTATAGAAGCCTTTCTTTCCTTCTCCTCTTCCTTGTGCTTGTAATCTGGCTCCTGCCTCAACTGGACGATTTTCAAAGCATCACCTGTGGCCTCAGATCTCATAGCTCAAACTACCCAGAAAACAGATGTGACGACGTCAATTTTAAAAACATGTGTCTTCTGGGGCTGGAGAGATGGCTCAGCGATTAAGAACATTGACTGTTCTTGCAGAAGACCCGGGTTCAAATCCCAGCACCCACATGGCAGCTAACAACTGTCCGTAACTCCAGTTCCAGGGGATCTGACGCCCTCTTCTGTCCTCCACAGGCATTGCATGACACTGCACTTACCTACATGCAGGCAATACACGCATACATATAAAATAAAAATAATAAATAAAATATATTAAAAAAAAACAAGTGTCTTCTTCGAATCCATATACCAGCTCCTCTTCCCAATCTACTAAGTTTCTCTCAATGCACCTGCAATTCTAGACCCCCAAACTTAAACCTCTGGTCCCCTGCTATCCCAATCCCCGAGGCAAACCCTGTTGATTGGTGGCTAGAAAAAAACAGTCATTCACACTGGCTACTCCACTGCCTCACTGTCACAGTATAACCTTTCCCTCAGGCAAGACACCTTCCTTCTTTCACAGTTAGCCAATGCTCCTCATTCTGAGCCCCCAGCTCTCAGGGATAAAGCTCCTCATGGATTCACAGCAGCATCATGGCCCTCTCACCACTTCTCCCCTGCCCTGTACTTACTCTCAAGCCACACAACTCTACTTCCTTTAGTGCTATTCTCATACCCCCTGGCCTCTCTGTACCATGCTCTTCTGCCTGGAGTTATTCCTTCTTTTGGTCAGCAAGACTCATTCATGCCATACAACTCAAGAAGCCCTGGCTATGGCCCTGAGCTCACACAGCCATCTCATTGCCTATCTTTGGTAACCTTTAGGAAACTGCACCAGGAAAGTCCCTTTCACAGTCTGTCCTGTTCAGTACACAGCTTCTTGAGAACAGGGAAGGAATCATCTATTGACCGTCTAGTCTGAATGCTCCAAAAAGGGCCTGGCACACCACAGGCACAATTAACAGCTCTGATAATCTTCCAGATCCTAGAGAAAGATACCAAACTTGAGGTAATGTGATCTGGCCTTTCCTGGGTTTTCAGCTTAGCAGAGGAAGTCAGCCATGGATGTAAATGGCAGCATTGCCACAGCAGACACGGGCATGCCCACCAAGAAGCCAGACACAGGCTATCATGGCTCAAAGGCAAGACAGACCTCTTCTGACTGCAGCTTCGGGGAAAGTTTCATGGAAAGAATGACATTTGAAATGATGATGGTGCAGACAACATTGTCTGTATCTGAGACTACGGAGTACACAAGGAGAGGACAGCACTTCCAAGCCCAAGCTAGAACTCGAGTGAAGAAGAGATGGAAATGTGTAGGGCAAAAATGTTTGCCTCGACCTCAGGATGGTTTCCAAACTTTTAAATTAACAAATACCAAGTAAAGTTGAACTTCTGAATTGCATATATAAGGACAAAAAAATGCAGTTTCTCCAGCTGAAGTAGAAGCCCAAAGTCCCAGCCATTCAGCATACCCAGGAGTTTGGAAGGAACATGTTTCCAACAAGTAGTTTGAAAGCCAACAGTGCAAGTCACAATTGGAATGGAACGACTTGAGTTGCACTTGGCAGGTGAGTAGACGAAAACTTGGTTCCGGGGCCTGGTCAGAAGTCAAGCAGGAGAATAAAGAAAAATATGACGTTGGTTTTGAGCTTGTGTGGCTGATGTGAGGAGGGAATGTAGGCAGTCCCCCAGAGAACAGCAGGCAAGCTGAGCTCAGTTTGGGTGGGTCTGCAGTGAGTTACCGCACCTGCACACAGTACTCTCACCATCTTCCCGTAATTACAACCTGTTTCATCTCTCTCCTTCACCCCAGGGTGAGCTCCTTCAGAGCTGACACTAAGGGGTCCACTGTGGTTAAGTTAATGTCCAGCACAGCACCTGACACAGAGGTCCACAGGGTCAGCAGTCTCACTGAGTAATCTCTGGGCACATTCACCAACAGAGGGTCTTTAGTGTCTCCCTGGGAACAATTCTTGAAGCCCAGTTGTGTTGAGTCTAAGCATGTTATTTCAGATTTCCAAGAATGGATGATGCATCTGTTTCATACATACCCTCCCCCACCCCCCGGGGTTATCCTTGTTTCTGCTGGTCAGCTTCCAAGCCATAAAGATAAATTTGAACTGGGCTACATACTGAGTTCCAGGCTAGTCCAGGCTTCAAAGTAAGATCCTGTCTTAGAGGATGGGGCGGGGGGGCTAGTTTGATCATTTTACTTACTTGTTATACTCATTTTTAAAAATAACCAATTCGGGGGCTCAAGAAATGGCTCAGCAGTTAAAAGCACTGACTGCTCTTGCAGAGGACCCAGGTTTGAGTCCTAGAACCCACATGGTGGCTGACAACTGTCTATAACTCCAGTTCCAAGGGATCCAACTCCCTCTTCTGACCTCCGTGAGTACTGTACCAGGTGCACTTGCATACATGCAGGCAATACACTCATACACAGAAAATAAAAATAAATAAAATTTAAGTGCTAGGATCAAAGGCCTGTACCACCACCCCTGGCTTATACACTGGGACTAAGCTCTCTTGCTTTTATATTAAAGGAGAACTCAGCTAGACTAGTTTAAAGATAAAAGCAAGGCAAGGACTCAGGAAAAGCACACCACTTCTAATGCTAACAGACAGATTCCTCCCAAGGGTCCTCATAAAGAGACAGAGTAATATAACGAACATCTTTCCAGCATCACAGCAATGAGTTCTGCTGGGCTGTTTCTCCTCATTCCCTCCACAGAGTGGAGTCTTAACATAGCTCAGTGTAGTGAAAGCACTTCCGTACTGGGATGGATATGCTGCATTTCATAGAAAAGAAGAAAGTACCCAGAAGTCAACAAAACTTCCAGCTATACATTTTAGAATGAAGCAATGGATTTAAACCTTGGTTACTCACCAGGTATCAGTAGAACATTTTTTAGGTTGCTAATACCTGAGCCTCATCCTGGGTTAATCACATCTGGATTTTCCGGGGGTGAGGTCTCTACTTTTTAATGCTACACAGTTAAAAGATAATTCTAAAAATTCACCACAGAAAAGAGAAGCTCACACAATGCCTGGAGACACTGTACTAATCGAATCAGAATCTCTAGAAGATGCAGGCATAGGTATTTTTTAAACTTTCCCAGTTGAGTTCAACCTCCTGACAAGGTTAAGAACCATCAACCTGGAGTAATGAACGAACTGGCACAGCCTTCATGCAATGCTTCTGAATACCACTTCTCAAAGCTGAGCCTAGACAGGAATCAAGCAACATAACATCATGCTTCCTGGCTCACCTATTGTCAGATAAAGATCATAACATCTTAGCAATGGAGCTGGGATATGTTGAATTTTATCTTATAAAAGTTGAAGTACCTTCCTACTGGGGATCAGGGAAACTTGAAAGCAATTTTCAAGATCAAGGGTTTTCATTTAAAAGTAAATTTAGATCCAGTCTAAAGATAGGAAAAAATGGACAATCAAGTTCCATAATTTTATTTTTAAAACACAACCTTTCAGGGAGACAGTTTACCCAACTGCTATCCTAGTCATAAGAAAACAACTACTCAAACAATGCTATTTTGTGAGGATTTGTGAAAGAGCTAAAACAATTGATTCATCACGGGTTCATGTATAACCACCCACAAACCAGCAAATGTACCAAAGGCAATTTTAGTTTGAGAATTGTTGCCAGGTGGTCTGTTCAGACTATAATTAATAACAAAATCAGAAAGATTAGAAAATGCCAGCACTCATGTCTATGGGATTGGATATTGTCTTAGTTTGTTTCTCCATTGCTGTGACAAAACACTCTGACCACTACCAACTTGGGGAGGAAACAGTTTATTTGTCTTACATCTCCCAGGTCACAGTTCATCAGGGAGCCCAAGGTAGAAACTCAGGGCAGGAACTTGGAGTCAGGAGCTGGAGCGCAGGCCATAGAGGACCACTGCTTACTGGCTTGCTCCCCTTGCCCCTGCTCAGCCTGCTTTCTTATGCAACGCAGGCCCATCTGCCCAGGGATGGCACCACCCACAGTGGGCTGGGCCCTCTCACATCACTCAACAATCACAAAGGTGCCCCAAGGACATGGCCACAGGCCAGTCCAATGAAGGCAATTCCCCAACTGAGGCTCCCTCAACCCAACTGTGTCAAGTTGACATTAAAGCTATTCAGCATGGATACTGAGAAAAAAACCTGAGAGAAGATATCCGGAAACAAGCCAAAGGAGGCTGACGACTTTCACGGATAGCTGGAGAGCTAAACTCTGTACTACAGAACAGGACATGTCTAAAGCATCTGCCTAGGGCTGGAGAGATGACTCCATAGTTAAGAATGCACGCAGCTCTTGAGAAAGACTGTAGTTCAGTTCCCAGCACCCACCAGGTGGCTCACAACCACCTGTAACTGTATCACCATGGGATCCTACGCCCTCTTCTGGCCTCCACTGGTACACACACACACACACACACACACACACACACACAAATAAAAAATAAAATAAAATCTGGGGGAAAAAAAAAGCATCTGCCTAAAGCCTAAAGTCTGTTGCAAAGCAAGGCCATGGAATCACATGCTCTGTAACTCATAGCTACACAGAGAAAAGATGAATGAAATTGGTATTCTAAGCAAGGATGGCTCCTTTCACCATAAAGGCAGAAGATAGAAGATACCCATCACACACTCACTGGCTCATGGAAAACCCCTAAAAAGATTTAAATGAGGATAGGGTGATGTGATGAACATCTTTCTAGCAATGAGATGCGTGACATTGTCTCTTCCAGTTCCCTCAACACAGCATAAGTCAGTGAAGCCAGATCTATACTGGGATCCACCCCAACAGGGAGTTGATACAGGAAGTTCATGTGCTGTACACACTAGGCTCAGTTCCAGACAGTCAAACTTTCATTCTCTGCTACCACTGATTAGCTTAGTCTTCTACATGAACACAGGGTATATTCCTATACCTCTTTCCAGCCCACTGGAATAAGAATAGAGAACAGGGGGTAAAGGGTAGGGTACAAAGATATGGACTAAGTGTATAAACAATAATAATGAAAATGTAGTGACCTAAAATTAAAGACACCAGGTAAGGAATGGGGAAAAAAATATCAAAGAAACAAAAAGAAGTTCTGGTACTAGACAGATGCTATTTCAAAAGGCTAACTAGAAACCTGGTCATTGAATTCAGTGCCTGCCAAAATGCAGCTGTGTGATTAGTACCCTGGAGGCATGATTTCTTGACTGACTGCCCTGCTCCCCCCTTATAAGGTGGATTTGGGGTTGCATGATATGAAGACACAATACAGTTTCTGGAAAGCAAATAAAATCACGAAGCATATTTACAACACCAGTTTGAACAAACTGATGGGCTACAACATCAAACCGGAAGACCACCATCCACACTCGAAGGGTAAGTGGACAGACACAGGAGCCTGGCTGGGGATTTGTGGTTCCCTATTCTTCAACTGGTCTTCCTGATATGAAAGGTCACATGCACGAAGGGCAATCATCTTTAAAACAAAAGCTAATTGTTTATGCTTTAATTCTAATTCTCCCGACCAAACCAAGCAGATTTTTCAGACACAATAGCCACAAGACAAGACAATTTTTAATTTTTCTTTCTACTATAAATCCTTTCCATTACAGGTTAAGAAGATGGAAATGTTAAGAATCCCAAGATACAGGCACGTGGCCACCAATAAACCTTCAGGAGATCTCAAATAGTCTCCAGCAACCTCTGAGAAAAACCTGTTCAAGATTTGTTCCAAATGACACCAACCGGTTCTGCACTGTAAGGCCACTTAGGGTGGCTCCTGTTACAAAGGTCTCTGTAGTTCTTTGACAACTAGCGTAACATACAAGGTCCACAGCACCCTTGTACTCAAGTTCACACGAACAGAAATGCTGAAAGTGGCCCAACTCCACGCCCGGAACCAGAATCAGTATTTTGACAAGATCCTCAGGGCGACTCCTATGCATCTTAAAAGGCACACCGCCTAGGAGCCAAACTGGAAGTTTGGGAGCTGTCCTAGCAAGTAGGGTTTATGCACCGATAGAGTGGGGTGAGGGGGGGAGTTGGAAGAGGTTGGCGGGGCTATAGCCTGGGGACCAGTCTAGTGCTCTCTCTCAGGTCTGGACCTAGCCCTAGGCCCGCAGTCACCCTACCCCACCCCCACCCCCAGAGGTGAAACCCCCAAAGTGTGTCCCCGCGCCGGCCCGCCTCTCACCTGCTCCTCCAGCGGGAGCGGCTTGAGTGGACTCCGCGCCCCGTGTCGAAACACCACCTGCACCATTTTCAGCTCCAGCAGGCTGCGGGCCACCGGCCGCTGGCCGCCGGCCGCCCGGTGCTCGGCCAGGGCCACCCGCCGCTGGTGGAAGCCGTAAACCAGAGAGGCCAGGACGCCCACCGGGGCCCACACGCGCATGCTGGCGGCTCGGGAGGCTGAAGGCTCTGCAGGCGCCGGAGCTCAGCAGCAGCCCCGAAGTTTGCGGGAACTGATGGGCAAGCGCATCCAGCCCCTGGAGCCAGCGACCAGGCGGGGACCGAGCGCCGGCAGAGGCGCGGGTGGGAGCAGAAGGCACTCCTTGGAGTTTAAACGCCGTCGAGGTCGGCCGCTCCTGGGGCAGGCGGAGCCGGACGAGCACAGCTCCGAGAACCTTAAACTTGCACTTCAAACCTGGTCCCAGCACCCTCCAAAGTACTGGTAGCCTAGGCAGCTGGAGCTCCAGGGACACCCGCAAGTCGGCTTCACATTTTATAACCAAGTTCCCTTCCACCTTCTAACCCTCCCAAGGACCTGCCCCAAGTGAATCGGCGCACAGGAGCACGGGAAGGGGAGTCCCGCGACGTCGTCCGGCCCAGAGACTCGGATCTGCAAAGAACTACAAGCCCCATAAGACTGTTCGCGGCCGAGGCCCTAGGGAGGGTTGTACCGCTCCCACCGCGTGCTGGGGTCCCGGCTCCGCCCTCCAACCCCTCTTCTGGTCCTGACTGCCCTAGGGCTGGAACTAGTAGGAGTCTGATTTATTCTACGGGTGGATTTGTCTAACTGAACCCGAAAGCTGAGCCCTGTATCTAATGAGTGATTACTTTTTGTGAAGCTACTGTTTCCCATTTTGTTTAAGAAAACTGAGCTAGGGATGTAGCTCAGTGGTAGAGTGCTCTACTGGCATAGCAAAGCCTTGGATTCATTAGCGATGGAGACAGGGAGCAAGGAAAGCTAGCCACCCTAGGATATAGCTCCTAAGGGCATACCCCCGAAGGACTGTCAGGGGAGGCAGAGAGGATGGACTCAGTTCCATTGTGTTGCCAGCATCCTGGGGAGTTGCCCTAATCTTTCAGGGTTCTGTGTGGAGACTCTGGCAAACCTAGTATTCTCGGCTTGAACTCAGAAAAAAAATTCAAGACAAACCAGTATGAAATAGACTTAGACTTTATGAAAAATAGAAAGGATTGCACTGAAGGGAAAGAAAAAACACACCTGAGAGCTCAACTTGTGTGCTTCTCAAAGCAGAGTCTCAGATTATTAAAAGGCTTTTCAAACATAGGCTGTAAACACGGGGTTAAGGCAGAGAGATACTCAAAGAATAAGACAGAAGAGCGAGTGTGGGCTTCTCAGAAGAGTCACAGGGCTGGAGAGATGGCTCAGTAGGTTAAGGGCCCTGGCTGCTCTTGCAAAGAACCCAGATTGCCAGCACCCATCTGACAGCTAACGCCGTCCTTGCCTCCAGTTCCAGAGCATCCGTTGCCCTCTTCTATGTGGGCGTTGCCTGCATGTGGTGCACTTACATAAGTGTAAGCAAAGCACTCATACACATTAAAAATAAAGCCGGGCATGGTGGCACACACCTTTAATCCCAGCACTTGGGAGGCAGAGGCAGGCTCATCTCTGTGAGTTCAAGGCTGGCCTGGTCTACATAGTGAGTTCCAGGCCAGTTGGGGGTACAAGAAGACCCTGTCTCAAAACTACCAAAAAAAAAAAAAAAAAGTGAAAAAAATTTGAACTTTATTTAAAAGAGAGTCACAGTGGTGTCTTCACAGTTCCATATATACCATCAAGTTATATCTCAAAGGGTTACTAAGAAACTTTTTTCCTTTTATTTCTTTGATAAATGAGATCAAAGGGTGGCTCCAAAGGTGCCTTGGGTGGGATTATAATCAGATAAGGTAAAACCAAGAGCCACTTGGGCTTCTAGTGACACTCTTGGAAAATTGTAGGTTTACAGCTGGGAAGAGAGAATGGCCTTAGGAAAATGTTAATTGTGTGGAAATTCTTCCTTTTCATTCTGTGAGAGGCTTCATCCAGACTTTGGGGTGAGGGGCTTCTTTTTCTTCTTGGGTCTCCAAAATTTTCCTTGCTTTTCTATCCTACTTCAGATCCACTCCCTTCAACTAGGTCTTGAACCTTTGAAAAGTTTCTAATGCCACCCAGTGAACCCATCAAAGTATGAAGGTCAAAGCCTTCATGGTTCAGTAACATCCCCCAAAGGACACCTGTGAACATTACTGCGTTGGAAACGGAGCCTCCAATACATGAGCTTTGGAAGGACACTTAGATCCAGATCATAAACCAAGACAAACAAATTGAGACCATTGGGGTCATGAGGCAACTCTGCACTGGAAGCTGAGTGAGTAAGGCAACCCCAATAACTGGGGAGGGGCAGTTGAGTGAAAACACAACTGTACAGCTGCAGTACAGACAGGTCCTGGTATTTGGTAGCTTCAGCAGCTTTGGCAGTCTTAACACATTGGAAAGCCTGCAGGGCAATGGAAGGTTCATATTCAGCTGCCCAGATTTTCCACAGCGGTGGACAAAGCAACCCTAGTTTACACCCTGCTCTCTGGCAGCTTTGGCACTGACTCAGCAGGCATCATAAGCAACATCTTTGGCCTGTATGAGCAAATGCGGGGCGCTGGCAGGCGGTGGGGCGGGGGTGCAGGGGTTCTGTTAGCAGCAGAGCGCTGTAGGAAGCAACAGCAGGTGAGATTGGAAAATGACAGATTCCGTGTGGAGTTGAAAACAGTTTGTCAGCACAGATGAAATAACCCTTGGGGGGCCCTGTAAATATTTTGTGTGTACTGTACAGTCCAGGTGGTAAGCTGGAGTTTGAAAGAAGGGTCTGGGACAGACCACAGAGGGCAAGAACTCTGAGAAATGATTGACCCTGGTTTTACTACTAGGCACGGAAAGCTTGAGAATCACAAGCTCTCCAGGGTTTTGAGCGTTCCATTTAATATTACATGAAATTTCGTTTTAATTATGAGATTAAAAAAATACATTTACTGCATTTCCAGTAATGAGCACTTAGTTTAGTAAGTACTTGTTAAGTATTTGTCAAAAGAAATTATAGGATGCATCATAGGAACGGTGTAGAGGTCATTGCTCATTGTGTCTTTATGGCTTCCTACATAAATCTCCTGAGAAATTTGACTTAGAGCAAAAGTGTTACCACTATAAAATTATCAAGAAGTATGAAGATTACTTTCCATCCACTTTTGCTGTGATGGTCTGGAAGCCAAGAGACCAATTTTCAACCTAATTATAAGGTAAATGTAATCTTTCTCTCATGGTTTCACCCTGGGTTGGAATGGACCAAAACTGGAACAGGGTCAGTTAGGAGGCTGTTACTGCAGTCCAGGTATGAAACATAGGAGGTAGTTAAAGATGGGAAGTTCAAGGGAGGAAGAGTCAAGGATGGCTCCTGAGCTTCTGGCTTGGGTAACTCCCAGATACTGTTTATCAGGGAAGGAGGCTAAGCAAGGTTTCGCAACTTAGCTTCAATTATGTCTGAATAGAAATGCCCTTTATATTGTTGGAGCTCAGAATACATGCAACTGGGAAGAGTATATTCAGAACTTCTCTGCACATGGTTAATAGCTGAAATGATTTGGGTGGACAAGAGTCTCAGCATGGTGGAATGGGAAGAGGAAAAATAAGGCCTAGGATATCTCCAAGGGAACTCACCATTTAAGGGAAGAGCAGAAAATGCCACACCTGAGAAACAGGAGAGGCAGAGAAATAGAAAATAAAAACTTGGGTGTGAAGGAAGCAAGAGAAGAAAGGTTTAAAGAAGGAGTGGGAGCAATGGCAAATGGAATTGGGCATAAAACAGTATAAGGTCCGTGGGATTTAACAACGAAGCCATCTTTGGTCAGTGTAGAGAGAGCAATCTCAGTGAAATAGTGGGCTGGAAATTAAATGGAAATGGGAGTGAGTGGGGTGTAAAGTATAGACATCATCAAGAAGTTTAGCGAGGAAGAGGTGGTGAGTGCAGTAACTGGAGGGGTTTGGTGTGTGAAACCAAGAGAGGTTTGCCATCAGGAGACAAGTGAGTATACATGGGAAAATGCTGAGAGACACAGCGAGACTAAAGATGTGAGATGGGATAAAAGGTCCAGTGGAGCTCTTAAGAAGGTAGGAGATGAAAAATGAGCTTCGATAACATAATTAGGCTTGGAGAAATTAAAATTATGTATTTTCTATACTGATGAGTGGGAAAGGAGAAATAGGCACCAAGGGAGGACATTTATAGCGCAGGGATTTAAGGAGCTTTTTTTTTTTTTTTTTTTTTTTTTTTTTCTTTATTTTTTTCTGTAAAATCAGAGCGTGTGTTGCTGGGTGGTGATTGGTGCGGTTGATAATTTGAGGGTGTAGAAATGCTTACAGTAGAGCTAGAGATGGGTGCCATGGAGATCCCAGAACAGAACAACCATCTACAACTATAGTACAGAATCACCTGCCAGTATTTGGTAGTGTGCAGATTCAAGAGTATGCACCTCTTTTTTAGACCTGAGTAGAGTCAAGGCATCCAGTTGATTGTGATTCAGAGATTTTCAGATCCCACTTTGAGAACTGCTGATGCACAGTCAAGGACCCCCCTCCACGGATCCCACAATCCTCAGACACTCAAACCCCTTATGTAAAATGGATTAACAGTTGCAGATAACCCGTGTACATCCACACACTTCAAGTCATCAATAGCTTCATTATAATCCCTAATACAATGTAAATGCTATGGAAGTACTTATTAAACTGGATTATTTAAGAAATAATGACAAGTCAAAAGTCTGAATATCTCAATACAGATGCAATTTGCTGTTTTGTTTTTTTTTAAAAAAAAAACTGTTTTTGAGTCATAGTTGACTGACTCAGTGGGCACATGCTAGTTTGGATGACGGCCCCCCAACAATCTATGTGTTAAAAGTGGAATGTGGTGAAACCTGTGAGAGATGGGGCTTTGTGGGAGATCTTTAGGTGACTAGAGACATGCATTTGCAGAGGATTTTGGGACTCCCCATCTTCCTCTTGCTCTTTGCTCTGGAGTCATGAGGTGAATGATTTGTTCTATCATGTGTATCCGCCATGATGCACTGCCTTTGCCAGAGACCCAGAGTCACAGAGTCACCTGACTGTGGTCTTCAACTTTCCAGAACTATGAACTAAAATAAACCTTTTCTCTTCATAAGTCAGATGTTTTGTTATGATGATAGAAAGCTGACGAGCATGGTGCGGAACCATGAATCCAAAGGTGTGACCATATTTCAGTATGGAGACTTTTAATAAAATGAAAGGGATTATCAGTCGAGAGGCAAAAATTAAGAAGACAAAAAGGAATAACTTATACAGTAAAATTCCTAAGAGTTGATTCAAGGAATTTGGATAAAGTCTGATAAGATAGGAAGAAAGATAAACCTTGGCTAGTAGAGGGATTATGTCTCTCATTAAATGTTATCTCTCCTACTAAGACAGGAGAAAAAAAGATAGGTGTTGAAGCTGGCAGCATTGGTAGTTTGACCACAAACAAATT